TTTTTTTCTTCATGAAGTTTTACTGATTGCTTAAGCACATATGGTGTGTTAGAAATCATGGTTACAAGGTACCACAGATCAGCTTTCTATAGGAAGTGCCAGAGTGACAAAATTCATTTTTACAAGGAGGATTGCTAGAACACCGAAGAAAAATGATGAAAAGTAAAACTTGAAAAAAAAAAAAAAAAAGGATAGACTGACATGACAGGCAAGCAGCCATGAAATGGAGTGCTTGGCAGAGGACCATTGCCATTTACGACATGTCAAGATGTACAGAGGATGTGACTTTCTAGAATAACATTCTCCAGGGAAGATACCTCAGCACTTGGAAACACAGCTGCACTAGCCACATGTGCAGCTTGACACAGTCTAAAAAACTACCTATTTAAATATTCCATGTCATGACTGCAAACTCTTACCAAGGATAAACTAATCAACCCAAACCAAAGTATCTTCTTCTGAAATCTTGAAAGCAATCACTTAGTCTACACACTAATTTTGAAATTTTTGTATTTCATAAACTGTGTGTCGCGATGAGAACAAACTTTTATAAACTGTATATAATTTTCTATATAATATTTTAAGAGACTTAAAGATCAAAATTTCCTCAAACACCATCAAGATCACCAAAGGACTTCATTCATGCTGGCAAACCATACCAAGAGGCAACTGCTCATTGGTTACCACCCTGCTCCCCACCATGCCACTGTTGGATATGCCTTTGTGAATTCCTGGATATTTGTACAGTAAGTTAAGTCACATGACAGGAGCTACAGGTAAGATAAAGGTGGCAATATTGTCCAATTATCTCAGACTAGGAAGAGGCAAACAAGCTGGGGGAGCACTAATAATGAACATAGAAGGAATATATGATACACTCATAATGAATCCACAAAGAAAGCCACCTCAGCAACTGTGCTGACAATCAGGTCTTACTGGGTCCAGCTCAGAGGGAAGAGGCCATGGCCCACTCACTCAAAGGAAGAGGAAAACTGAGCGTGGGACTAATCAGCATTGGAAACAAGTGGATCATTTAATCTGGATGAGAAACTGAAGTCTGCTAATCTTAACCCTAAAAGAAATCTGGGCTAAGCCATTAAAGCACTCCCTAATTCACAAGTGATGACACTTCTCGAATTTTTACAAGCAGTCATGTTCCCTCCAGACATGAAATAAATAGGAGGAATGCCTTATGAAAAGATGAGGGAAGCAGTAAGAGGCGTGCACCAAACACTTCATGAAACAGAAGTTAAAACTCTAAGGGGTAATCTGCCACGAAGTTTGTGTTGCTTTCTTTTTCTAGGAGTGCTAGCATCCCCCGCCCAAACTGAAGGTTGAAAGAGCCAGCTCAGAGTGAACCAGTGGATTTACATGAGCAAGTTCACAGAAGTCAGCTAAGAAGATATGATAATGATTTTTCCTTTAAGGCCTTTAACCTTTGTGGTAGACACCGGACCTCTGAATCAACACTAGATGGATTTTCCATCCTTCTAATAATCTGTCCGTTGTAGGTTGAATTTTCACATTTCTTTTTATAGGAACCTGGCAACATATGAGACCGAGCTGCATGGAACCGATGAAAATTTTAATTGCCACCATAATTGCTTGTACTATCAATGTTTATGATTTGTTTACTTATCCATGTTTGTGATTTGTTTTCATTGCAAGTGAACTTGTTGGGAGACCATATATTAGTGAAACATTTTATGTGTTGTTAATTTGATTTTTTGCCAAGTTTATTTTGTCTTTTACTGGAAAAAAGAAATGGTGTGGGAAGAGCTTTTACTTTTGTCTCATAAATGTATAATTTTGTCTAAATCAAATTTAGCCTGGGAGTTGGCATAAAAATTTATGCATATTTGGAATCATACAAGTATGTATTAACCACTTCTGCCTCAGAAGGCTTTAGATTTATGAGGATTTGGCTACATTTTTTCAGAGATATTCACGAGGGAGCTGAATAATCCTAACCAAACATAAGAAAATGTTCCATGGGAAATGGGTGACCATTTCTTTTCTAGACCAGAAGAACAGACAGCCATGGACTGCAAAAGGGGCATGGGTAAAATACAAAAAGGCTGTTTACCAGATTTTAAGCAACTTTACCTGTGACCAGTTTTGGAACCAAATATGTTATCAATCATGAGACATTCCAAATAAAATCAGAAACTTATATTCCCAGTTGAACATGTCTGATGTACACTGACTTTCCTACTGTGTGTCCTAACAGAGTATTTTAACTTTACCTAATTTATTTTATTTATGCTAATCAATATGGTTACTCTAGTACATTCTGCACCACACCTGCTTCTCAGTTGTAGGTACAATTTACTCTGGCAGCAATTAAAAGTGAATGTGACAAGGGCCATTTGCACCCTGAAATAAAAATTAAAGGAAACAAAAACCCCAAAAAGCCCAACCAAACCAAATCCAATAAACAAAAAACCCACAAGCAAGCAAATAAAAAAACAGAAAATGCCCCACAAAACAACAAACAAGCAAGCAAGCAAACAAAAAAAAAATAAAAAAAATAAAAAGCAACCTGGCATAATATAACTAAATCTGAAAGTCTTATAGAATTACCCTGCTGGACAGGAACTACCTGTAAAATTACCTATAAAGTTCTTCAAACTACATGTAGATATGGTTGAAAGAGAACACTATTAAAAACTTTGAAGTATGTAAGCAGACCTTGTCAACAAACCCACTCACACTTATTCCCAGTGTGTAACTGTGTAATCAATTGTACTAAGGAACCTGAAAATCTGCTTCAGAGTAGGCAGATTGACCCACCTTAATACATGATGTATGTATCTGCTGGGGATACAGGTTTATGGGATTTAAAAATCAAGACCCACTGTGTCATTCTATGGCTAATTTTGGCCTACACAAAACAGACATAGTATTGCGGAATCCATCACACCCCCTACTCATTAAACAACACTAAGAACCTTCGGTATCACTGGGTAGGGGCAGTGGCTAATCAGGATTGGGTTAAAAATTGCAATTGGATTTGTATTTTTAATGATTTGCACAGCTATTTTATGTGGTATGATTACTTGTGTTATTGCTTCTGCTGTTTCTGTATTTTCTCATAGTGCCCTCTATGTCTCTATCATCCCCATGGACAACCTGTGCACTGAGGAAAAGTTCCTGGAACAGTGTTTGAGCCACAGGGTGGTATAAGGAAGGTCAGCTCAGCAACTGTGCTGACAATCATTTCTGACTGAGTCTAGCTCAGAAGGAGGGGGCCATGGCCCACTGACTCAAAGGAAGAGGAAAACTGAGCATGGGACTAATCAGCATTGGAAACAAGTGGATCATTTAACCAAGAGACTAGGAGAACTGCGTACTAAATGAGCATTGATTCCTTTATTTGCTAAAGTGTACAAATGGGGAGAAGTTTTGAGTGACCTTGAACTGCCACTACTGAGAAGACCAGAAGACCAGTGGGATGATGTCTGGAACCATGGTTGGTGATACCTTTTTACTTTTGTCTCTCTCACTCTTTTTCACCCCCCTCCTCTCTTCTATTTCTTTCTATCTTTCTCTACCTCCCATTTACTGTTAAATTAAATTCATACTATTGCCTTGAGTATATGGTCTCACTTGCACCTTAATTTGGGTAGAGGCATCTCTCCAATAATCAGATCTTAAGAAATGTAACTAAAATAATGTAGGAATACATTAAGCATATTTTAATAAGAAAAAGGTCTGAAAGCATCTTTCTTCCTTAGCTATCAAAAATTCAGAAAATTTGTACAATGTTTTATTCTTGAAAGTAACATCTAAAGATTAAAGTGTCTGGAGAAACTGTAGGTGACATGATGAAAATGAAAAATACACATTGTGCTTGTGCATCATCATTTCATTTACCAAAATAATGAGATCTGCAATTTTAAAAGCCATTTTAAGGATCTGGACAGCTAAGAATCTTCTTAGGTATATTAGAAAGCAAGTATTCAATATTAAGAAATCCATATTCTCAGCTTTAGAGATGCATTTTATAAGAGCAAGTTTTCAGAAGGTCTCAATAGCAGTTTAAGTCTTAAAGCAAAACAGCCTGCAGAAGAAAGAATATATGCATACCATACTGAAAAGACTCATACTTCCCAGACCCATTATGTTTTCAAGCTGGTTCTCACATATAATTGAGAGAGACACCCTCTAAGTATCTCTCTAAAATCTTGAATTCACAGTGACAAACATACCCAAAGCAGGAATAATTGCTTGAGTGCCTACCATTTCTCTGATTAGTTAGTAAGTTTGCTCTTGCTTACCACACAGTTTTTTTTGCAGAAAAATTGTGATGGGAATTTTCTTTTAAAGGCATATTAATCATTAGTCATTGTACTAAGTTTGAGAGCAAACCAAAATTGGGTTAGTAATTTTATGACTCTTTTCTTCCCAGCCTTCCACCAAAAATTGTGACTGTCTGTCACCTTTATTCTGTTCTGCTTTAGATGGTTTAAAGAAGGGAACCATTACTGTACAATTGATAAGAATAAATAGTAGTAAACAACTCTTTACTCATAGAAAAATAGTTTCTTATAATATCTTACAACAAATAATAAAGGCATTTAAAAAATTCGTAACTGTAAAGTCAACTCAAAATGCCATTAGTTTAAAGTTAGAAAGTTTTGACATGGTAGGGTTTCTCATTTAGAAGATTCGAATTTTTAGTTTTTCTTTAATCCCACTGATTAAATTTCAGTGTATTTTTTTGCACTTTAGATTATTATTACATCACAAAACAATAAGAAGGCCAATGAAAACCCATCATGTTTTGATTTTGCATAGAAAGAAAATGTGATACAATGGAATTAGAAAAAAACTACATGTAGGAAGGGGGTCATAAATCTTTGCTTGCATAATACCTGACTGTAGACAATTCCACATTAAACCAGTATTAAAAAACAGTATTAAAAAAAATCAGAATTATTTCTAAAAGCAAGTCAAACTTTTCCAAAAAAGTAGCATAATTAATTTTAAACACTTACTTGCTTCTGTAGACATTGCTCTATCATTCTGTGTTTTCTCCTCAGGCTTTTTGACCTGTTTCTTTCTCTCTTACTCAGCTTTCGGTTGAAGGAAATGCTCATAGGCTGCACAAGACCATGAGATGTGATGTACTGTTTATCTTCTACAGCCCTTGTAGGTGAGGAAAGATTCATCACAAATGGTGACCCATCAGCAATGACACTCCCAGAAGACTGTCCAGTAACTTCAAAATCACATTCACTTTCAGTATCTCTGTGTAGTAATGTGATAATGGAAGTAACCTGAAATTTGTTTTGTAGTATGTCAGCCCTGGAACTATGCAGATCCTGAAAAGAACTACCATCTTTCCTACTGGACTCTAATTGCAAGCTCCCTTGTAGGTAAGCAGATGGATTTTCATTTTGGCCATGGTAAAGTGTTCCCATGCTGCGAGTTTCATATAACACAGGTGACAAAACAAGTCTTTCTCTGATATTTAAATCCAAGCTACATGATCTTCTGTGTAAAGGTTTTACTGTGTATGTATCTTTTACAGGATAGGAAGAAAGGAGATTTTTTTTTTTATTTAATGCCTTTAAGGGAAGTTTTTTACTTTCTATCTCATATCTGGGAGCTGTTAGTTCTAGACAAAGTGCTTCTGTTAATCTTCCAGCACTATTATTACTTCCAGCTGTGTAAGAAAGCCCTTGATTTATGATTTCCAAAGTTGCAGTTACCACTTCATGGCAGGTATCCTTGTTAAAACCAGACTGAATTTTGAGAAGCAAATTTTTCTCTGGTGATTTTGGCAATTTAACTGGATTCTCAGTCCAAATTTTGAAGAAATGTATATTTACTAACTGTCCACAGGAACATTCTTTGTTGCAAACAAAGTTACAGCCCCCTAAGCAGGCCTCACAGAATGGACAGTGCAGTTTTCCAATTGTCCACTGTGCCTATTGACAAAGAGAAAAAAATAAAACACACAATATGTTCACTGTAAATAAACGAGCAAGAAATAATTACTGAATATATATTTTCTTTACTTTTTATTTTCTTTTATTTATATAATTACTGAAAAAATATTTTCTTACTTAGTAAGAGGATTTTCTTCTTGTTTTTCAAATAGAATAAAAGACACTTCACAGCAGAAAGCAAATCCACCATAAATAATGTTCTGGTCAAAGCTTGGCTTGCTACAGGGACAACTAACTCTAAGAAAAGACACATTGTAAAATCTACAGGCTTTGAAATATGTTTAAAATTTGTCCACAGTTAGAATAATACTACAATACTAATGAAAACATTAGCTATTTACAGCAGTAAAATAAATTTCCTATGTTAATCTGGAATTGGCAAGCACAGCTTCTCAGCTGAGTGCTGATACATTTCTTGCTACATTCCTTACGTTTACTAAGTACGGTGGAAGAAGATTTCTTATGGAAAGAATATAGCTTTTCACTTTGATTACCCCACAAAAGCTTAAAATGGTATTTGTATTTTGTGTATGTAGCATTACAACATAATCTCTGTGCAGAAACTATGACAAATCCTTAATACTCTATATATAAGGAAACAAGTTATTTTCATTTTTCAAATGGAAATACATATCAAAGAGCTATAAACACCTACACATTAATACAACTATTAGTCCTCCTATATATTTAGACAACTGTTAGTATTATCAGCAGTCACATTCATCTGTCAGCAGTACTGTTGAGGACTACAGTTATGCAACTGTTTGCAGGATCAAAGCCCAGATGGGAAAAACCATTATCAACTCCAGTCACAATTCACTCACTTCAGTGTCTAAAGAACCATGAATACAGAAGCTGCCCAACATTTCTAGTTTAAGCATTGCTTTCATTTCAAGGTGATTTGGAAAGCTATGTCCATAACTGATGCTTGTCCTACTGAAAGCTACAGAAAACATCAGAAAGACCAGTTTAGCAGTTTCAGAAAAAAAAACTCCAGCAACTTGTGTGGAAAGAAAGGTTATTTTTCACACATAATGTTAGAAGTCCTGGAGACACTTACTTGAGAAACCTACTCTTGGCTTGTGGGTTAAAACCTCAAAATTACACAAAATATCAAAGATGTGTCTTTCATTGCACCTATGAGAATCCATTTAAATCTGGACTTTTTTTTTTAACTTGGAGAAAAAAAGAATAGCTTACTTATAGTCACAGGCTATAAAATTCTTGAGAATTCTGTAAACATGCACAATCGCTTTCATTTTGTAAGGCTGACCAATGTGTACACATGCCATTCCCAAAGAAGAATTAAGCTTGTTCAGAGATTCACTCTTAAGTTTCCCACACTCCATTTCCCAGATGCCAGGGGCTAGACACTAAAATTAAGAGGAAAGCAATTTCTAGTGACTTTATTGAGCCTCTCTGGCATGGAATAGCATCCTGAATCTTCAAATGGAGAGGCAGAGTGATTAATGAAATTTAAGAAGGCTAGAAGTCTAGAAAAAATGGACATGCAAAACACAATATGGAGGAAAAAGGACATCTCTCTGTGTCCCATGTACACAGAGACTGGGAGATGAGGGATGATACCAAGGAGCCTGGGACTGATTTAGCATGAGTTTGGCAATGGAGTGTGGAAGCACTGACTCAGTAGAAGAAGTAACAGCCTACTAGTGGAGGAGGTGGTAGGGGGAAGAAGATCAGCAAGATCTGAAAGGGAGCTGAGGGTACGCAGATTAAGTGATGGACTGCATAAAGAGGAAAAAATGGAAATTGTTAGAAAAATAAACCAAAACAACTGGGTAACAGAAAATCCAAGTCAATAAAGGTCACTAGCAGCACTAGCTACATATTTGTAATTATCGAAGATTAACTATACTAATATGTACATGAAATCCAAGGAGATTGGTTAAGAACAGGGACAGATGGCAAAAAAGAACCGCCTGGGAAGCAGTGGGTTTTTACAGCCTGCAAATAGACTTTGCGCTTATGCAAAATGATTTAGCCTTTGATTCAGGAGTCATACACATGATCAGAGAATAACACATGAGAAAATAACACATGATCACAAAATTATTCAGAGCTCAGGAGGATCTGGAGATAAGTCAGAATTGTTTAACACATTGCAACCCCCTACATTTATCCATAGAAACACAGGATCTTGCCAGAGGAGACAAAGTGAATGAGGCAAGAGTTCTGAGGTTATTAAGTGACACAATGAACACAAAAATGTCAAAGTTGTACACAGAGAATTGCATTGTCTGCCTTTTTCACCAGAGAAGAATTGCTCCTCTGCAGCCTTAAGCAAATGTGTCAAGCAGTCTATGGGTTTTGTATTTCCTCAGTCCCCAGTTTGACCCTCCAAATTTTCAAATGCAAAAGCTAAAGGTGCAAAAGAATTAACTTAAAAGCTAAAAGTGAAAAGAATTTATTACTATCAATATGAATCAAATTATACTGAAATAATTTAAGAGGCAAAAAACCTGTAAAAAAGTGCCTTCTTATTATTGAAGATTCATGGTTAGGCGATATTGTAAAGTGACTCATACTATAACTCATAACTCATGAGCTGGAATTTTCAAACACACCTACACAATTAGTGTTTCTGAACATAAGTGTTCTGTTATATTCACTGAATTAGAAGAGATCACTAATTTTAAAAAGTTTAATTAATGTTTAACAAAAATTGTTAATTAACATTGTTAATTAACATTAACAAAAACACAGAGAGCAATATAAAGAAGGAAGATGAAGGTTTTTTAAATTTCTGAATGCTTAGTTCTACAGTCATTCATAATGACTTTTTTTTTCTCATCATTTTCAGTATGGGTTTGCTTAGGGCAGAAATTACTTAAACTATAGCAAAATTTTACAATGAAGTCTAAGAAGAAGTCTAAGGAATGTAAATATAATTTGCTTATCAAAATCAAAGATTCATAAAAGAAAAACTGTGTGGCAAAAAACACTGCTTCTGCTTATTAGTATCTATTCCACAACATTAAGTTCTAGATCTAAACCAACTTAGAAAAAATAAGCAACTGTAGCAGTCAGTACAATAGGAAATTTATGAGATGGTTTGGAAATTACAAATGGGCAGTTAAAACTCAAAAGCAGTGACACTGGCTTGTCACCAGACCTTTGAGTTTGCAGGAAGGTATCTACTTTATATTCATATGATATAAGAACACATTAAGTATAAAAGACTTATGTATAAAATATATCATATTCCAGAAACTGATCTCTTAACAAATTTGCAGTCCATTTTTATTTGGAAATATGCTTCCTTATATTAATTCCTAATATTAAGCCTTGTCAAATATACAGAGATATCCATGACAGTTATCTGGACAAGCATAAACACATTCATCTGTTATAGAGCAAGAAACAGAATTTAACACTAGTAGCACTTATGCATATATTAAAAACAAAAAAAAAAAAACAAACAACATTTAAGAGAGGAAAAAAAAATCTGTAAATGGTAACAACACAAGTTCCTGATAAGAATTCTCTCAGTCGTAAGTCCTCTGCAACCTTGCCAGAAAAGTGTCCTTGAAATTCGTCCCCCTTAATTATTTTACATGCTGAATAATGGAGATCTAAGGGAAAAAAAAAAAATCTACCTTTTCAACGACACATTTCACCCACTCTGGAATGGCTTCTAAGCTCACATGCCATACATTGCAAAAATTCTGAGCGGCAGCTGAAGGTTGTGATATCTGTTAATAAAAGAATTGCATTGATACTCAAAATTTATGCAGAATTTTTTTCTTTGAATATAGCCAGAAGTCAGCTCCCTAAAACCAGTAAACATTAACAAATAATAAATCTCAATGTTATGTACATCTTTAAGCTAAAAATCAGGTAGATATTGTCAGTAATTCTCTATGTCTGAATCTAAGAATACTGGGCAAACTCCTGTGGAAATGTAGGCGTCTGGAAGTAGTTTTATTTCATTTAAAAGAACAGAAAGTATGCAGTTGCGGCCTTCCAAAAATATCTGAAATTGATTTTAGTATCGCTGTCAGCTGGCATAATTTTTCAGTAAAGACAAGAAGTTATCGCTTACATGAAGACTGTGATCAGCAATGCACAAATGCAATGAGCAGAATTAATTTTCTCATTCTTTTTAGAATAACTAACAGAGTAACCAGGTAGTCCTAGCAACTTTAGAGTTTTTACAGCAACAATGTGATTAAGTGAAGAGAAAAAAAATCTAAAAACCTGTAGCATTGCACTAATTGATACTAAAATAAAAGCAATTATCAAACTAAATTAGTGTTACAGGGATGGCTAAAATTATAAGGAAACTCTGGTGAGAAAGTCCTAAAATCAGTTGTTAAAATTAATGAATAAGGAAAGTTGTGGGTACCCATGATATTAAAGTCATTGAAATAAAAATTTCATTCTGATAAAAATTAGAAGTGATGCTATAGACAGAAGATAGAAGCTTTTAAAAATTCTCCAAGTATTGACAGAAGATAGAAAAATCCACTTATCAGGTCTATGGTGGCTTTTTGTCCTATCTGTGAAGACCACCTGCATTTTAGTATGGATATAATTATTAGTGTTTATACTGTGTTTGTAACTTCAACATTTGTTCCACATTTTTTTCATTCGTTATTCAGCTATCTTTGTCTGAAGGTCTAAAATTCATCTGTGAAAACATACTGAAAACATTAGTCTTCTCATCATAGTACTGTTTTTCCCACCCAACCTCTTTAGATACAGTGCTAAATTACACTTTTTAATTTGCTACCTACATAAATGGAGAAGGTTCTTCAGTTGTGTGCAACTGAAAGATCCACCATAGGGAACTTGGACAAAGACACCTCTTTCTTTTCACTACATTTTTTTCCATGGAAGGAGATGGAGTTTCCACATTCCCTTGAAATTACTTCAAACCATGCACAAAAGAACAATCAAATATAACGTGTGAAAATTATTCCAGAACTTCAAGCTCTGTAAGCAGAGTGATTAAAATGAGATCTATTGATAATGCTATCATGATCTTAAAAATTAACTTTGTTTCTGTATCTATTGGCTGTATCCCTCTCTAGTGTACAAAAGAATGTTACTGCATTACTAACACATTTATAAAAAACATCACCACCTTCTCTTTTATATTATTTTTAATTTTGATTCAAGAGGCTGTAAATCTTTTTGGCACATTTGGAAATACCCTAGCTCTTTATTATGAGTAGATGCCATTACAAAACAGTAGGAAATATTCTGTCATGGTTTTATTCAGTGTAATTACCCTTCTATTTATTTTAATAAACACAATATAAATTACTGAGCAGGGAATAATCCTGCTCAGGGCAGACTAAATTTCTGAGCTATTTTTGTGCACAGTCTATGGCCCATATTTAAAAAGTTAAGGGCAAAATTTTCTGATGTAGGGATATTTTACATACAGTTTATCACAGTGGAAATTAGAACCAGTTTTTAAAATACACTTTATACACAAGAAATTGTCCATTAGAAGATATTAAAACAAAAAAAGGACTGCTTTAAAACCATCAAAACTAAGCCCCATTTTTATATTAGAAATGGTAGTGCTCTATACAGGCTACTAGTCAAGTGTCCGTGAACACCAGCCTGCGTGTGGCAGAACATGAAGGTGATCACTGCCTACCTGATTTCACTAAAATTACTTCCTACACAACTCTCTACAGAACTGTCTCTACTTTGATTTACCTCCCCAAGAGATGAGTTACAAAGTGAGGCTAAGTCTAATATTTCTCCTTCATTTAAAATAAGCAGCACCAGAAGAACTTACAAACTCCCTTAGAAGAAGCAATACTTACTTTGGATGTTTTCTTCCCATTACATTTTGCAAGAAAAACAGAATTTGCTACATATTTCCTACATTTCCAGCAACAGAGAACACCAGCCTCTTGGCTGTTCATTATGCCAGCTTGGGATTTTGCAGCTTTGTATGTTGACCTGTAAAGACCACAAAGCATACAATTTGGTCACCTTCTGAAACACCATTTTTCTCTTGAGACCTTGAAGTCCATAAATATTCTCAACACTGTAGAGGAGACTAATACTTTACTTACAAATACACTCTGATCTTGTATAGCGTGCCATCTAGATGTTTTAAATAGTAACATGAAACAGATGGTTTTATTTCCAGGTTGCAAAAAGAACTAGAAAGCAAAAAACAACAAAACAACTAAAATGAAAATAAAAGAAAACTGACCAATCAACCAAACAAAAAGCTTGTCCAATATTTGGACAAAAGATAAGAGAACTCCAGTGTTTCTGGAAAATGGCCATAGCAATAAGTCACTGCTACTCTAAGCAGTAAATGAACATACACACATAAAATGCCACATAACAATAATGAATGCTAACATAAAACCATAGATGACAGATTCTTTTCTCAACATGCCCCTGGAGGCTGGCTCCCTTAAATTAGTTTGTGTGCAAGGATGAGCACTACTGATGCAACCATTTTTCAAGAACCTCTGTATTAACCTCTTTGTGAAACAGGACTTACATTAAGACACCAGAAGGACAAAACAAATACTCTATTTTTTGTGTCTTGCAGCATCATAATTGTCTCTCTAGTCTTCTCTACCTCATTCCAAAGTCTTCCTTTTTTGACATGTTTTTTTTCCAAAAGTCCTCCAACTTTTGTGTCAGAATACTTGTTTTTACCCCCTTGTGCTAGTTACATGAAAAAAAATATTTTTCATCTACATGGCAACTCAAGCTCTATACTAGAGTTAGGCCTACTCAGAGTGCTAAAGTGCACAGCACTCATTGATGGGCATGCCGGACTATAAAATTAAAAATCAGTGTAAAAAGTTTCAGAGTCCAAACATCTAATTTTGCAACAATTTTAACATTTAATTTTTTTTTAGTTTTCACTAAAGCAACTTTGAAGTCTTCACTAAAGGTTGTCTGAAGAGCAGTTTGCCTTGTTGAAACATACAGACTTTTGCACTTTCCCAATTTCGACCTTTCCCTTTTCTGCCTTGCTTTCTGATGCAATCAAAGACAATGAAACAGACAGAGAAGTTACTTAGTATCTTTTATTTACATCTGAGGTCTTAATTAATTGCATTTTTTACTTTTCTACAAAACTAAAGATCTGAAATATAGTTTGAGAAGGACAAGCAGAAACATAGGTACATACAGCAGAATCTGAGCTTAAGTATACATGCAGTTTTTAACAATCAGATCCACTCTCAGTTTAAAAAGTGAAATTAAGGCAAACATTAAATATTTCCTTGCAATATCACAATTAAAATGTATTTTTATTAAGCGTTCATTAACAAATCTTAAGACAGACAAGCAAAAGATCATGCAAGAGACACATAAAAGCTAAGAACTTATACTAGTAACCTGTCTTGTTCCTGATAAAAACTGAATAATTCAAATGCTTTGACTTAAGCAGAACTTCAGTTTTTACTGAACTAAAACTTAGTTTTTACTATCCTACCTAAATCAGTGCTGCTACTTTCTGTATCACACACATTTCAAAAGTGGAACATATAATGAACCTGTCTATGAATGATTTTTTTAAAAAGTAATTTATTCTTTGATAATTTTCAGAAGTACTTTGTATCCCTTTGCTGTTATAACACTAGGCACCACTGGGTATTGAGAGAATAATTATCAGTTATGACTTTCAAACACTTTAAAGCTGTCCTAATTAATCTATTCTTCACAAATTCTATTCACACACTTCTAGAATGAATTTAATTTTACAACAGCTCAGTGTGATCCTCCAGTCTAAGATCAACCAGGATGGACTGAAAGATATTTTGCATGCAGCTAGCTCAGACATTCTCTTTAGGTACAGCCATATCCTCATCTACTCAAATACCTTCTTGATATGATGTGATACGTCCCTTGCAACACTTTTTATGCTGTATTTTTTTAATCCAAATTATATATTTAAGTCTCTCTACACATTCTTTTCCCCTTAGATAAGAGGATATCCTGCTATCTTTTGAACAGCTGCTTCATTTGAAGCTGATGATTGGAGCAGGACAAAAACCACTTGGTGATAGACCTCTCAACAATCAGATAAAAGACTGATCACTGGCATTTAAGCTGATGTAAACATCCTCCTCATCTATATAATATCTTCCAAGCTTTACTGCAAAATAAAAGGTCTTTTATTTATTTATTTTGTTTAGTTAGTTATACCCTTTGAGAGGTTCTTCTTAGTTCAGCATGTATCTTTTATTTAAAATTGCACTTACATAAGAGAAATGAATGCTTAGTATATGAGTAATGACACACATAGCATAGTTGTTATTTTGTTGTGTTTTATGTAACCAAGACTGATAATAATGGACTACATGCAAAAAATCCAGCTCAAGTGCATACTTTTTTTAATACTATGGTACAGTGGGCTGAAGTGTTCTTCTGGCCTAGAAGTATTTAAAAATTAAGTAGGTGTATTAAAAATCTGCATGTATGTGTCTTTTGCAGTCCTCACAAAAGACAGAAGATACTTTACAGATGCATGTTAACACATTGCAGAGGTTTCTACACACAGCATGTTTCTCACTTATCACATGCACTTTTATTTTGTTTTGTACATAAGTTCAAATAAATGCACATGAACACAGGATTTTGAAGGTTTTGTATTTTGTTAAATGCAGTTTAACCTTAGTGTTTTGGATATATTTTTGTAAGTTTCATTTGCCTTGGTTTGCATGTAAGACTATTAAAATCTTGCTCTCCTTCAGCAAAAAGTGCCTACATAAAGATAAAAAGTTTTCCATTTGGAACTCCAAAAATAGTGTCCAGCCCTGAGTGGGCCTTTTTATCTTAGTACTAGGTCATGTGTGTTGTGGCTGTACTGCTCTCAGGTCAGTTGCTTTGTGTGAGCTCATGCTTGCCTTCCAAGTAGCATGCAGGTGTATCAGTGTTTAAAAGTCTATATTCTTCCATGGCTTTTGTCTGATTACCTTCTAAGTCTTTTCTGTTCTTCAGTCCCAGTAAAACCAGTAGCAGGGTCCTAAGACTTCCTTTCCAGTCTCAGTTCCCTTTCTTGGAAATCATTGGTCTACTCTTCTCTTAGAGACCTTTGATGAACATTTTACAGCCTTCCCAAACTATTTCATTGTCTTCTTATCTCTTGTTACTAACTTTTTCCCTAATACTTAAATTTAATTTTCTTCTGATTTCCCTTATATAGAGAATACAGAGAACAAAATTGCTCCTTTTCTTCCATGCAGAACATTTTACAACTTTAAACAGTTATTAGATATTAGCTCCCCTTCAGTCTAGTCTTTGTGCTAAATAAATCTTTCTCTTTCCCCTCAGAGAGAATGCTTTCTTGATCTCCAACTACCACTGCTATTTTGTGAACTCCTTCAAATAGGTCAGCTATTCTTGCTGAATGCAAGTTCTGGATGCAGAACTCACTGAAGTTTTACCAGCTGAGAAGACTAGACAGATTACATCAATTTTCAAGGGGAAAAAAAATAAGGCCTATTTATATCTAAATGTCTTACAAAGTCTAAATTGTATAATATATTACATTTTGGTCATTCTGTCTTCAAAAAGATTGCTAAAAAACATGAAGTATGACTCCTATTAAAATTTTTTCATATGTTCACACTGAAAAACTAAACACAATTCCCTAAATTTCTGTTGAAATCTGGTCTAGAATTTCAACTAACTTGCCCTTCATTCACAAATACATAAAAATGAGAAAATATGTGTAGCAGCACTAGTATTTATCAAAGCTTTTTCTTCCAAAATCACCTATGATCCTTCAGAATATTAGAGCCATGAAAATTACAATAATAATTAGATTGCAGTAAGAAACTAGGGCACTGAAACTTTAGCAGATTGATAGTCTTAAAAAAAATTAGGTGAGTGTCTGCTTTGTGGGAGGATGACAGGGAAAATGAGCTGTCCTAACCAACAAGAGTCCATACCCCAGGTTCCTGTTCCCAGAGGAGGAGGAACTGATACTTTGCCAGACAGAGAGACAGCCATGGAAGACATTAGGGTACACTTTAAAAACGTCCTGCTAGTTTCTGATCTCCAAAGTACTTCTGATTAAAGAAATGCTTAAAAAAAACCTACTTTAACAATGTGTCTCAAAAAATAGCACTTAAGATGGGGAGACAGAAAATTTAAAGAACTGTCTCCAGGCTCCCAAAGAAGGGAAGCAGAAGGATGCATCATCTGCTTCTGTGCATCTCCTCGTCTACAAACTCTTCTACCAGTTCAGCGGTTGTGTGATCAGCTTCTGTATGATGGAAGTTAATGTTAGAGGGTGGCCAGTGTGATCCTTTTGTACCAAGACTAACCCATATAATAAACAGAAGTTAAAAAAAAACAAATGTTACTTGCAACATATTTTTTGATTTGCTAGCATGTTGCATGCTTCCTAAGGTCGTCCAGGCGCAGCTAGGATATGGAGTGTGTAAATGGTTTTGACAGGGAACAGATCTGGCGAGTCACTGGAAGACCACTGATCGGTGTGTAATCTCGTTTCTCCAAGAGATCCCAGTGCCAGAGCTGCCTGTTTCACGCTCTTACACATACAGGCATCAGTTGTTGCACGAAGTGAAGCCCGAAACGAGCAGGAGCAGGGTGCCGCTGTCCCAGCACAGCGCGGGCGGGCGGCTGTGCCCCGGGTGCCGCAGCCGGAGCCGCAGCGCCCGGCACCCCCGAGCCGCCGGGCCCGGCCGGGCGCTGAGGGCTCTGAGGGCTGCGGCGCCCTGGCCACGGAGCAAGGCGCGGGGCCGCCCCTCAGCCGCTCCCCGGGGTGCCCGCCCCGCCGCGCCCCGCGCCCCCGGCCCGGCCCGGCCCCGCCTCGGCCCCGCGGCGGCTGCGGCGCCTCCCGCCGCCCCGGCCCCGCTCAGCTCACCGGGCCGCGCCGTGCGAGGCTGCGACGAGGAGGCGACGGCACTGGAGCGACCGGACGGGCGGGGACGGGCTGCGCAGCAGCAGCAGCTCCCGCGAACGGGAAGAGACGGGAGACAAACGGCGGCGGAAAGCGCTCCGCCAGCGCGGCCGCCGCCCTCGGCAGGCGCACGGCGGCGGCCCGGCCCGCGCAGGGGCCGCTGCGGCCGGCGGAGCGCCCTCGGCGGCGGCGGGGCCGGGCCCTGCCGCGGGCACGACCGCAACGCCCGCGCCAGCCTGCGCCGCGCCGGGCCCGGGGCTGGCGCGTCCTCTCGGCTCCTGACTGGCAGAGATGCAGCGGGGTGGGGTCCGCGCCGGCGGCGAGCTGTGGCCGGGGAGAAGACAGGCGGAGGGAATTAAGGTTCAGGGAATGAACGATAAGTTTTCAATGGGCGTTGGGAAAAGGAGCTGCGTTCCTTCACGCCCGAGGATTCAGCCCAAATTTAGAGATTGTACTCTCATAGAGCGAGGCCAGGGACATGGCAGGGATCAGCAAGCGCCCGCCGGGCATCACCTGCTAGGCTGGGTGTCCTCAGCAGCTCCCTACTGTCCCAATGTACTGCAAGACAAAGGAGGAAGCATTAGATGAAATGGGGCCAGGGAATGAAGAACACTTAGGAATCGGTGTAGGAAGTTTCTGCACATCAGGCGGGGCTCCACGGAAGGAAGGGACAGCACGGCGGCCCTGGGCCGGTGAGCGTGTGTGCCGCGGCTGCCAAGACAAACAAGTGGCGGCTTCCATCCGTGCCGCGTCTTTGGCACCTCAGCGGGGTCTCTTGCGGTGACACTGTGGCTTGACCGGGAGCTGATACGTGCTCTTAGCTGACAATCTGCTGATGATGCTAATGACGGTCTTCAGATACGAGAATGGAGTAATTTTAAAGCAATGTGAGAGTAAGAAAGTCCGGAAGATTGCTGAGAAAAATTAAGTTAAAGTCTGTTCGCTTCTTTGCTTGTGGAGGTGATTTGGGAAACTGAAGCCTCCATTTCAGGCTTTCTCCTATATTTATGATATATAATTTCCGCAGTCTTTCTCGTACTGCAATATACAATCCCTGCAGACCAAGGTGAGATTATATTATCTGGTAGCTGTTTTGGATAATGTAGGACTCAGTAAGATCTGGGCTCTCCCCAATAATTAAATTCTGTTTTACTCTGCCATGTGCAGTACAGTAACTACTTGTAGAAGGAACAGACTATTATTTTCAAATAATTTATAGTGTGCGAGAGTATGCTTAAATTTAGACTAAAATTACTATTAGAAAAATAAATATTTAACAGTCAAAGAATTGCAGTTTATAAGGCAAGCTTTAGCAAACTTAATTGATAAAGCTATAGAGCAATACATTAAATAGATGAACAGAAGAAATAAAATACAGATTAAAATAATGATTTTAAGACATTTTAAGCCTCAACTTCTGACATAAAATAATGTTGAAAATATTAGGAGAGAGATACTTTAATTTTTTTCATCTCATTTGCTTCAGTTTAAGTAGGATGTAGGGTTGGACAGCTTGAATTTAATGGAATCCCACAGATAGGGAGAAATAGTAATGAAGGTTTCTCTGAGGTTAAGAGATGAAAAGGACCGTATGGCTCACATCACACCAACAGCAGATGGAAGGAGGAAAAATGAAACTTTGCTGAAAATTTTGCTGCTGGCTACAAGACTATATTCAGAGCCATTCAGTTAACTGTGTGGTTAACTGGATTGATTATGTTATATACAGTGTTTATCTATCACAGAGCAGCTGGACTGTGGAAGACTAGAGAGGATGGATTGTGCTGTAGCTTTAGGACTCATGACAGGCTGATGCAGTAGTTAATTCCAAAGCAGGCTATATATGAAATGCCTTTTGCTGGGATAGCCCCTTAAGTCTGTGGTGGGAGTTCAAGGATCAGTACCAAACTACCACAGTAAGAAACCAGAGGGTGTCTTTGCTGTTCTCAGGCTCTCTGTCTCTTTGCTGTTCTGATCGTGTCTGGGGAAGACTGCATTGAAGGTCTGTGCAGGGGGTCATTGTGCGCTGAAGCACCCTGCAGGGCTGTAGTGGCTGGTGCATACACAGTGGCACATTCTGTTTTCATGTCCATGACAAAGGAGAGTGTATCTAGCTCACAAGTACTTTATGAGAACCTCTAACAAGTGGTCATGTATTCCAATGATGACACCAGGAACATGTCATTTCCATTCCAATTGTGTTGATATAACTGCCTAGGGGGAGGAATGACCTAATTGTCATTCTTATAGAGTTTCTTTCTTTACCAAAATACATTTTCATTACAAGAAGTTACTTTTTCTGCAGCTATTTGGTAATGCACTAATGACTACCCAAGGCATTAACCCAGTCTATAATCCCT